TTTGGAGGTAGGGAAGAAATACTCCTTGTTCCCCAGGGTACTCTCACACCATATCACACTTGTGAGATAGACTGGAAGGGTTAGACTGGTAGAAATAATTTGAGAGAAGTTGTGGCATTGTGTGCTAATTACACTTATCTTTGGAAACACCCTGTCTGCCACCATTCTTCAGCTTTTGACATGAGTGGGTTTGATGTTGCATTTTCTGATGTTCATAAGCGATACTGGAAATTGACATATATTGTACTTTTGCTGAGCTATGGATTGGAGATGTGTACTGGGAGATTGAGGTGGAGTAGTGAGATGATTTGCTAGTGGGTGAGTATAGCTAACTACACAGATCCTGAAAGTTTTACTTAAATATTTGCTTTGTCTCTTGCTGTTGTACATTTTTTAAGATGGGGGGAATTATTTGCAATACTGGCATTCGTCTTGGTTTCATTAAATTTCCAGGGTATGTTTATTTTTGTTATAACAATTTTATGTGCAGTTTAATATTTCCCTAATACTTAACAGATTATAAAGCATTTTTCTAAATAGGATCTCTCTTGATTCTCACCATAACACTTTGAGGCAGCCAGGTAGACCCAATTCAGAGGGAAGAACTCAGAAGGGGTTGAAGTGGAATATATTGGATTCTGGAAGAGAATCCCTGTTTTTTTTTTTACTTCTACCCCAATGCTTTTTTCCTCAATAAAAAGGTGCCTTTGTTTCTGTCTGAAGTTGTGACTGCCTGGAAAAATAAAAACCCAGTATTTGCATACCTGTAAGCTCTCGATAAATATTCACTGTGATGTTTAGGCCATTTTTCTCAACTGGGAGCCCACAGATCTTGGTTAAATGTAGAATCATCCTAGTAATGTTCTTCCTCTATTGGGCTTTATTTCCAGAAGCTCTTTGAAGCACAAACAAAATAGACTCATCCATTATAATTATTTTTTAATTTCTTTCCAATATGGGCATCAGGGAGAAAAGACACTGAGCAGTGGAAAAGAAGTGATACAGAGCTAGTGACAGGTTGGGCCTTGGGGAATCCCTGGGAGTCCAACAATGCAAGACACCAGTCTTAATTAACAGAGAAGTGAATCGTACACAGCCATACACATAGTTTAGTTATGCCTTCTATTCCTTTGTTATAGTAAAAAATACTGGACATGAGTGTATGTGTGTGGGGGAGTGATATTGGTGACAAGTTGGGCTGGAAGGGGAAATGATAGATGATGGTTCCTATATTGCTTTTTTTTTTTTTTTTTAACCTCAATAGTCTTCTGGGCTTATAGTTAGTCTTTTGACTCACTGCTGTGTTATTCTGCTAACTGATTGATGTACCAGCTATCTTTTTTTTGTAAGTGAAAAACAATGAAATATCAATGAAGCATCTCCATTTTAAAGATACAGTGATGACTATTTAAATATAATGTTGCCCTAGGGCTCTGAGTAGTCCTGAAGATCTGCTGTGTCCAAGATGTATATAAATGCTGAAGGTGATATTGCACAATCTGAGAAGAGATTTTGTCCAGGCAATAAACATATACTTTAGTGTCCTTTGCATCATCAAATCCTTTGTATTAAGTCCTTTCTCTCATCTCCTCTCTTTATCACATGTGATGTAGATTTTGAAGAAATCCTTTTGAGGTGATTTTTGTGATTTAGGGAAACTGTTTTTTTTTTTTTTTTAAGATTTTATTTATTTATTTGACAGGGAGTGTCATGGGGGTGGAGGGGAGGGCAGCGGAGGAAGAGGGAGAAACAGGCTCCTTACTGAGCAGAGAGCCTGATACAGGGCCCAATCCCAGGATGGTGGGATCATGACCTGAGCCAAAGGCAGATGCTTAACCACCTGAGCTACCCAGGTGCCCCAGAGAAACAGTATTTTTGATAATTTTGTCACCTCTCTTTTTATTCTTTCAATTTTTGAGTTTTCCTTTTCTACCAAAACAGCCATTTCCGCAAGATCTATTGAAGAGAAAGACTATCTTATAAATTAAGTCACAATAAAATGGTAGTAATTTCAGATAAATTCACATTTAAAGGGGTAAATTTAAACAACCAACTTTTCTCGGTCACTATGTTATCCTTTCACAGGTGACAAAATGGTCTCAGGAGAGGTCAGGAACTTACACAGTTGGTAAAGGATGCTGGTGAGATTTGTCTTCCTTCAAAATCTGATCTAATTCCATTGCCTAGAGATGCTTGCTACAAAGGAAAGAATTTCTTATAGTGGGAATTGTGGAATTCTAATACATAGGGTTGTGAAATCTTGCAACGAATTCTGGGACCTCATGGTATCTACTTATTCTGCCCAAGGAAAACCCTACTGTCCAGAACAAACTTTGGTTTAAAAAATAAAAGCAAATCTTGTTTCCCTCTCTTCATTAGGGAGGGCTCCTTGAGGGGAAAAAATGACACTGAGCAGGAGGCTGAGCAGTTTACTGGATGGAAGTTTACTGCAGCCTGGACAGAGTACCTGGCCATGCTCAGCACAGAGGACTAGAAAATAATCTTTCTGAGGGAATTAGGATTTCTCTTTACCTGCCATTGAGTATGGTTAGGGCTCACTAGGGAGGAATGGTGGGCATGAAGCTATGTGCCCAGTGCTTAACAGTGTGGAGTCTCCTATCAGCCAGTCCCAGGTTTGAGCCCTGATTTTGCCATTTTTTAGCTATGGGACTTCAGGCAAATTAATCAAGATCTTCACTTATAAGATGAGATAATATCAGAGCCTACCTCATGGGCTGGTTGGGTGGATTAAATGAGATAATGACTATAGTGTGCCTGACATAGAGGAAGTATTTAATAAATGTTATCAAATTTAAAGATACTAATTTAAACAACTTCTGTGTGAGCTCCATGTAATTGTTCCTTTCAGCCATAGCACTCATGGTGTGTCCTGCTTCTAGATGGCATGCCCTAATTGGAGAGAGAGAAACAAAAAAAGAATGGGTGTGCATGGGAGAGGGGTCTATCTGGCTAGAGAGCACACAAATGCTACTTTAACCTCTGGCCTCAGAAGAGCCTGGATATCCTTCTCACTCTTTTTTTGGCGGGGGGAGGATATCCTTCTCTTGAATAAAAACCTCTTTCAGAAATTCTGCTCAGGTATACTCTGGGAAGGTGAACATGCTATTTCCAGCAGCCCTGGCTGTGTGCTTCGTGTTGCAGGGTTAGCTCAGCCCCCATGTCGCCTGTCTCTGCAGGGCTGTCATTGTGTGATTCATAACTCAATATATTAACCACAGACAAGGGAGGAATGGATAAGGGAATTTTCTTTCATGTGACATAAAGTAACTAGGATCAGGTCTTGTTCTATAGAAGCATTAATTATTCTTGTCAGTCTAACCAAGAACAAATTTTACTTCAACCAAGGATCATGGTATTTCATTGGCATCCCATGAGTATGTGATGAAGGTTTTGCTATTTATCCATGAGTATAATAAATGTAGAGTCTGTTGTGATTTATGTTTTTTCCCCTTTCTGTTGAAACTAGTATGGTATCTAGTAATAGTAAGTACACAATTCTGGAATGTGAGATAAGAGGAAGGTTATTACTGACAAGACTAGATTACCAGTGTGCAAGTTTTTTTTTTTTTTAAGACATCTCAGTTCATTGATTTACTCTTTTTTCTTCTCTTTACTTTTCCCTTTATTGATTATAGAAACTAATTGAATATTAGGATTAGAAAGAGCCTGAGAGATCGTCTAACCTACTATAAGGAAAAATTGTGAAAGAGTAAAATTTGGTGGGTACCCTCATTAGTTCTTAATATTTGATAGGGATACTTTATAACTTTGCCAAGATAAAGGTTAATTTATAAAAGACTGCTAGTAAAGCAAAAAATTCCTATCTATAGAAATGCAGCTGATAGGGGTGCCTGGGTGGCTCAGTGGATTAAAGCCTCTGCCTTTGGCTCAGGTCATGATCCCAGGGTTCTGGGATCCAGCCCCACATAGGGCTCTCTGCTCAGTGGGGAGCGTGCTTCCCCCCGCCCCCTCCCCCCCCCCACCTGCCTCTCTGCCTAATTGTGACCTTTGTCTGTCAAATAAATAAATAAAATATTTTAAAAAAAAGAAATGCATCTGATAGAGTGCAACTGATTACCACCCTATGGCTACAGATCAGTTGTACTTGTTTTGCATTTATAGGTTCAGCATTCCTTATCTGACTATGGTTGTGTGGCCTTTGAGTTCTCTTTTGAACTAGTTGTTTTATCTTACTGGCTCCCTCATTAAAATCTGGGACATGGGTTCATTTTGTATTTGTATGAGTAACATGATTTTACCTTCTAAAAAATGATGCTTTAACACTGTAGATAACAACACAAACAAAACATGAATTATACAAATATTTTGTCATAGTTGGCCTCAAATCCATGTCTCCTGACTCCGACTCTAGGAACTAGAATTGACTCATGGATTCTTCCCTTGCCAACATTCTACACTTCCTCAAATTTTCTTGGTCCTTCAATAACCTATCGTGTCTCTGTAGTACGATTAATTGATAGCTTCAGTATCTACTTAGTACATAGCATGTTTCCCCCCAATCACATGTGTAGCAATTACTTGGCAATAGTTGGTGAGGGTGACTGTGGTGCATGTTCTCAGGGGTTCTTGAGGTCCTGTCTGCCATATTCTCCACACTTCTTCCCCAGACTACTCAAAATGCATCTCTTTATCTGACACTCACTAACACTTTGGTGAGTACCAATGAACGTCATTTACTTGGCCAGAAGGTACTGACCCTAAATAAAATACAAATACACCTGGAAGGAGTAAATACAGTACTTCATACATATTAGTTTGTTGAATTCTTTACAGTTTGAACTCTAGATGATGGAAGGTTGTTAAAGGAGAAGACTGGCTTAAAGGATGTGGGCATTTGATATTTGAGGAGAGGCTTGTTTCTCACACAATGATCTCTTGATGTCTGTTATATAGTTTTGGTATTGAAAAGAACTCTTCTTTTTTTTTTTTTTTTTTTTTTTTTCATGTATCTGGGTTTGTTTTTATATAAAAATAACAGTTTTCCCTAAATTTTTGCTCTAGGAAAACATGCCATGCTGTGTGGCTTTATGTACCATCCCCCTAGCCCTGGTCCTGTTTGGCCAAGAGCCATGGCCTTAGGGCTGCCAAGCACACAGGTGAGGGGGCTAAGGTGAGGACAGCAGATCCAGAAGAGTGGGCAGGGCCCCCTAGGCCAGGTGGGGAGGGGGGCGGACGTGTCAAGACTGCCTGGGCCAGCTTGGTGGCGGCCGGGGCCCGGGGTGCTGCCCTCACTGGTGGAGGTAGGCTTCCAGCCAGACGTCGCCAGACTTCTTCAGTGACCCAATGATGTCCACCAGGGCGGTCAGGAAGGGCTTCACCTCGTAGTTGAGGCCGTGCTTGGCACACAGTGCCTTGACCAGCGGGGCCACCCTGCGGTAGTTGTGCCTCGGCATAGTGGGGAAGAGGTGGTGCTCGATCTGGAAGTTGAGGTGGCCGCTGAACCAGTCGATGAAGAGCGAGGGCTCCACATTGCAGGTAGCCGCCAGCTGAGAGCTGGCCCAGTCCCGGTGCTTCTCGTGGCCAATCTCCTTGGGGATGTGGTTCATCTGCGTGATCCACACGAACCAGTGGCTCTCCAGGACCCTGACAGCAACGAAGAGGAGCAGGGCCCCAGGGAGGCCGTAGAAGGGGGCGTAGCACAGGAAGAAGCGGGAGTAGAAGCTGGCGGCCCACAGCAAGTCCATCCACTGCATGCACACCAGCATGTAGGCCAGATTTTCCACCTCGAAGTTCACCAGGGTGAGCAGCAGTGGGCCGATCAGGAAGAAAGAGTTCTTGGTATTGAAAAGAACTCTTCTACACTCATGTCTCTTGATCCCTTAATCATTGTGTCTCTACTTTATGTATATTTCTCCTTTCACACAGACTAATGGTGAGAGTTTTCCTAAGACTGAAAGTGATGGCTGTTGGAATCTCTCAGCTTTATATCTGGGAATTTCAATTTAGTTTGCAAAGTCATATTTTTCTACAAGTTCTCAAGGGTTATAATTTTTAGAACTTTCTCTCTTTTATCCCATTCAGCAGTAACACTTTCTTATACTCATCTGTTTAAGTTTGGTGCCCAGTCCTCCCCATAAGCTTTTGTGATGAGTCTAGAAATAATGTATTATCATTTCCCTAGATCCCAGATTTCTATTAGTCATTGAAACAAGTATCTATCGGGTTATTTAAATTCAACTATAATCATCTCTAGTCATACATAGACAGATATTGATGAAGCTTCATATATTATGGTATTGTACAGTACACTTTGGAGGTACTTAATTTTTGTACACTTTCTGAATATGCTTATACTCTAGTGAATTACTTTGTTTCCCAGGGGCATCCTTAAATTTCTTAATTGACTTCCTTCATTCTCTTCCTTTCTTCCTTCCCTTTTCTTTACCTTCTTTTTTCTTCCCTCTCTCCCTCCTTCCTCCCTTAAGTGTTTACCAAGTTCCTAATGTGCAGCATTTTGCTAGACACCATGAAATATGTTGTAATATCTAAAGTAAACATTTTTATGTCAAAGACTTAGAGATTACAGACTTTAGGTACACAATGCCCAGTTTTGCCAGGAGATGGTTTTGGTTTTTTTGTTTTTTGGAGGGAAATGTGGAGAACATTATTTGAAATGTCTGCCATTTAGAAAATTTAGATAGAAAGTCCATCTTACATTGATTGTGGACAAAATGTAACCTTTCAACGTGGTTAATGACCACTAGTTTTGGTATTTTTTTAAAAAAATAGTAATGGCTATGAAAGTGATGATAATATTCATTTGGAGAAAGCACCTCTGATGTTGATGAGATGTTCTCCAGAGCAGGACTTAAACTGGCCAAATATCAGGTATATAGAACTTTTCCTTTGTCATTGTAGAAAAATTCACCAGCACTACAAGTTAACTTTTGGAAAGTCTTCCTTGTATTTCACGTTTCAATGAAATCCCCCTTTATTGAACTGTTTCATGTAGTAAGATATAAGAATGGGTCCTACTGGATGTGGAGAAATTGGAACCCTCATATGTTGCTGATGGGAATGTAAAATAGTACATTTGGAAAACCATTTGGGCAGTTCCTGAAAATGTTAAACATAAATTTACCATATGACTCAACAATTTCACTCCTAAGTCTATACCCAAAAGAAATGAAAACGTATGTTCACACAAAACTGGTACACAAATGTTCATAGCAATATTATTTATAGTAGCGAAAAGTGGATATAACCCAAATATCCATCAGTTGATGAATGGACAAATAAAATGGAGTATGTCTACACAGTGGACTCTTGTTTGAAAATAAACAGGAATGTATTATTGATACATGCTAAAATATGAATAAACCTTGAAAATACTATGCTCATTGAAAGAAGCCAGTTACAAATGACTACATATTGTATGATTCCATTTATATGAGCTGTCCAGAAAAGGCAAACCCATAGAAAGAGGAAATAGATCAATGGTTACCTGTGGCTCTGGGTGGAAAGAAATGAAGTAACTGTTAATGGATAAGTTTATTTTTGAGGTGATGAAAATGTTCTTGAATTAGATCGTGATGATGGCTGCACAATTCTGTGAATATAGAAAGAAAACACAAAATTGTGTACTTTAAATGCTCAATTTTCTGGTCTATGAATTATATCTCAACAATATTGTTTAAAAAAAAAAGCTTTCTGGAGTGGTTGGGTGACTCAGTTGTTTAAGCATCTGACTCTTGGTTTTGGTTCAGGTCACAATCTCAGGGTCACGGGATTGAGCCCCTCATCTGGACTGCCCTCAGCGCACAGTCTACTTGTCTCCCCGCCCAACTTCCTCCCTCACTCATACTCTCTCTCTCTAAAATAAATAAATAAATAAAACTTTTAAAAAATTTTAAAAAAGCTTTCAGACTTTCAGGGAAGATGGTGGGTTGGGACAAGGCTAAACTCACCTCTTCCTGTGGATACAACTAGATAACACCCATGTCAGTGTAAATAACCCAGAAAGTGACATGAAGACTGACAGAATAGACTTTCTGCCACTAAATGTAGAGAAGAGGCCACATTGAAGAATGTAGGAAGGGCAGAGATGCGGTATGGAGCTAAATGGACCCAGAGGACTGTCCACTGGAGGGAAGGATGTTGTGATTATAAAGAGAAGAAAGAAACAGACACCCCAGGCACTTCAGGTTGAGGGAAGATGAACCTCCCTCCTGCTCCAATATTTGGCTTTGAAAACCAAAGGGGCCAAATATTGTGAGTTCTCACATTCAGTCAGGCTTAACACCTGGAACTTTAAAAATCAGTGGGTTCAGCTCTGGGAGAGCTGGGAGGGTGGAGTCCCTGCCCTTAATGAGACATCACAACGAAGAGCCCCACTGAGAAACAGCATAGAGGCAGCAATTTGAAAAAACACCTGGGGTATACAGGAGGGAGATTTGTTTACTAATCTCAGAGCATGTGCTGGAGGGACAGAGATCATTGGGAGACTTTTCCAGGAATAGAAGAACTGGCAGGTTCTCTTTCCCTCTCCCCTGCCCAGCCTACATGCATGGACACCTGCAGAAACTAGCACAGCAACAACACTGTCCACTGACTTTCTAACACCGTGCATGTCACCCTCTTGTTCTCCTGCAGACCTGTCCCCTCTGATATGCACTTGGCTGGAGACATCCAAAACAGTGCCAGAAGCCTGGCAATGTGCAAGCAGCCCCAATAGGGGCCAGCGGGACTCCAGGTGAGAGGAGAAAACAAGCACACACATCCATACAATTGAGTGCTAGCAGTGGGCTGGTTCAGAAACAAACAAAAAATTCTCAGGATACAATATAGGGAAAGCACCTGGCACATTGGTGCTACTACATCTATGGCAAACTCCTGGTCTGACTCAGCTCAACACAACGTGGCCCCAGACATGCCCACTAACAACACAGGGACTAAATCCTGCCCACAGCAGGCAAAAGAGCCAGGCAGAAGATGACTATGCTGAAGACAAAAGTGGCTCAACCACAATAGTACGGCACACATACATACATAGGAGACATCCCTGAAGTGCCAGGTTTTAGTGAATGGAACATTGTACTACAGGGCACTACAGGACCTCTTCTTCATGACAATTACTTTTAAGACCATTCAAGGAAACATAACTGACTTTCCTAACAAAGAAACAACACAGAGAATCAGATAAAATGAGGAGACTGTATCCCAAATGAAACAAAATCACAGCAAAAGAGCTAGATGAAACAGATAATAATATGCCTGATAGAGAATTTAAAGTGTGGTCATAATACTCACTGGACTTGAGAAAAAAGTGGAGGACCTCAGTGAGACCCTTAACAAAGAGACAGAAAACATTAAAAAGAACCAATCAGAATGATGAACTCAATAACTGAAATTAAAAATACACTAGATGGAATAAATAGTAGACTAGAGAAAGAACAGCAACAGATCAGTGATCTGGTGGATAGAGTATTGGAAAACAATCAAGCTGAACAGGAGAAAAAATAAAAAGTAAAAAATGAAGAGAGACTTAGGGAACTTAGTGACACCATCAAGTGTAATAATATCCATGTTATAGGAATCCCAGAAAGATAAGAGATAAAATGGGACAAAAAACTTATTTGAAGAAATAATAGCTGAAAAATTCCTGAATTTGGGGTAGGAAACCAAAATCTAGATCCTGGAGGCATAGAGGGCCCCCAACTAACACAAGGAGGTCCACATCAAGACACACAGAAATAAAATGGCAAAAATAGTGGTGATGTGATAATTTCAAAAGCAGCAAGAGTAAAGAAAACAGTTACATACAAGGGAAACCATGAGGCTATCAGCTGATTTTTCAGCAGAAACTTTACAGACCAAAGAGAATGGCATGCTATACTCAAAGTGTTGAAAGGAAAAAAAAAAACTTCAGCTAAAAATACTCTGTCCAGAAAAGCTATCATTCAGAATAGAAGAAAAGAGAGTTTTTCAGAAAAACAAAAGTTAAAGGAATTCATGACCACTAAACCACCCTACAAGAAATGTTAAAGGAGACTTTTTGAGTGGAAAAGATAGACTGTAAAGAGGAATAAGAAAAGTAGAAAGCACAAAAGTAGTAAAATTAAGTATATCTATAAAAATCAGTGAAGAGATCACAAAGTAAAGGATGTAAATTATGACACCATATATCTAAAACATGGAGGGGAAAGGAGTAAGGAATAGCTTCAAATTTAAGCAACTATCAACTTATTATAGACTATAATGTGTGCATAAGATGTTATGTGCATAAGATGTGCAGATGTAATGGTAACCACAAATCAAAAATGAGTAATAGATATATGAAAAATAAAGAGAAAGGAATCCAAGTATATCACTAAAGAAAGCAAGCAAACTGTGAGAAAAGAGAGCAAGAGAAGAAAGGAACAGAGAAGAGCTACAAAAATAACCATAAAACAGGTGACAACATGGCAATAAGTACATACCTATCAATAATTACTTTGAATATAAATGGACAAAATGTTCCAATTAAAAAGCACAGGGTGACAGAATGAATAAAAAACAGAAGGACCCATCGATATTCTGACTACTAGAGACTCATTTCAGACCTAAAGACACATGCAGATTAAAAGCAAAGAGATAGGAGAGCATTTATCATGCAAATGGTAATGAAAGGAAAACCGGGTAGCAATACTTATATTAGACAAGGTAGACTTTAAAATAAAGACTAACAAGAGACAAAGAATGACACTATATTGTCAGAAAGGGAAAAAGAACAAGGAGATATAACAATTGTAAATATTTATGAACCCGGGGGAGGAGTCAAGATGGCGGAGAAGTAGCAGGCTGAGACTACTTCAGGTAGCGGGAGATCAGCTAGATAGCTTATCTAAAGATTGCAAACACCTACAAATCCAACGGAAGATCGAAGAGAAGAACTGCAATTCTAGAAACAGAAAATCAACCACTTTCTGAAAGGTAGGACTGGCAGAGAAGTGAATTCAAAGCGACGGGAAGATAGACCGCGGGGGGAGGGGCCGGCTCCCGGCAAGCGGCGGAGCAACGGAGCACAAAATCGGGACTTTTAAAAGTCTGTTCCTCTGAGGGACATCACTCCAGAGTCTTAACCAGGGTGAAGCCCACGCGGGGTCAGCATGGCCTCAGGTCCCGCAGGGTCACAGAAGGATCGGGGGTGTCTGAGTGTCGCAGAGCTTACAGGTATTAGAACGGGGAAGCCGGCTACAGAGAAGAGCCGAGGAGTGAGCTCTAAACTCGGGGTTACCTTGAACCGGTCGCAGGCTCGGTCAGCTCGGAGCGCGGCCGGAGGCAGGGTGAAGGGAGTAATTGGGCGCTGTTCTCTGAGGGCACACTGAGGAGTGCGGCCCCGGGCTCTCGGCTCTTCCGGGCCAGAGAACGGGAGGCCGCCATCTTCATTCCCACCCTCTGGAACTCTACAGAAAGCGCTCAGGGAACAAAAGCTCCCGAAAGCAAACCCGAGGGGATTACTCAGCCTGGCCCCTGGTAAGGGCAGTGCAACTCCGCCTGGGGCAAAGACACTTAAGAATCACTACAACAGGCCCCTCCCCCAGAAGATCAACAAGAAACCCAGCCAGGACCAAGTTCACCTACCAAGGAGTGCAGTTTCAATACCAAGGAGAGCAGCGGAATTCCAGAGGAGGAGAAAGCAAAGCCGGAGCTTATGGCTTTCTCCCCATGATTCTTTAGCCTTGCAGTTAATTTTTTTTTTCTTTTTCAATTTTTTTCTCTTCTTCTGCTAAATTTTTTTAACTTTTACCCTTTTCTTTTTTAACGTTTTTTAACTAGTTTATCTAATATATTTTTTCCTTTTTATAGTTTTTCTTTATTCATTTTCTTCTTTTATTTGTTTTTTTTTTTTTTTTTTTTTTTTTCTGAACCTCTTTTTATCCCCTTTCTCCCCCCTCACGATTTGGGATCTCTTCTGATTTGGTTAAAGCATATTTTCCAGGGGTTGTTGCCACCCTTCTAGTATTTTACTTGCTCCTTCATATACTCTTATCTGGACAAAATGACAAGGCGGAAAATTTCACCACAAAAAAAAGAACAAGAGGCAGTACCAAAGGCTAGGGACCTAATCAATACAGACATTGGTAATATGTCAGATCTAGAGTTCAGAATGACGATTCTCAAGGTTTTAGCAGGGCTCGAAAAAGGCATGGAAGATATTAGAGAAACCCTCTCTGGAGACATAAAAGCCCTTTCTGGAGAAATAAAAGAACTAAAATCTAACCAAGTTGAAATCAAAAAAGCTATTAATGACATGCAATCAAAAATAGACGCTCTCACTGCTAGGATAAATGAGGCAGAAGAAAGAATTAGCGATATAGAAGACCAAATGACAGAGAATAAAGAAGATGAGCAAAAGAGGGACAAACAGCTACTGGACCACGAGAGGAGAATTCGAGAGATAAGTGACACCATAAGACGAAACAACATTAGAATAATTGGGATCCCAGAAGAAGAGGAAACAGAGAGGGGAGCAAAAGGTATACTGGAAAGAATTACTGGAGACAATTTCCCCAATATGGCAAAGGGAACAAGCATCAGAATCCAGGAGGTTCAGAGAACCCCCCTCAAAATCAATAAGAATAGGTCCACACCCCGTCACCTAATAGTAAAATTTACAAGTCTTAGTGACAAAGAGAAGATCCTGAAAGCAGCCCGGGAAAAGAAGTCTGTAACATACAATGGTAAAAAATATTAGATTGGCATCAGACTTATCCACAGAGACCTGGCAGGCCAGAAAGAGCTGGCATGATATATTCAGAGCACTAAACGAGAAAAACATGCAGCCAAGAATACTATATCCAGCTAGGCTATCATTGAAAATAGAAGGAGAGATTAAAAGCTTCCAGGACAAACAAAAACTGAAAGAATTTGCAAACACCAAACCAGCTCTACAGGAAATATTGAAAGGGGTCCTCTAAGCAAAGAGAGACCCTAAAAGTAGTAGATCAGAAAGGAACAGAAACAATATACAATAACAGTCACCTTACAGGCAATACAATGGCACTAAAATCATATCTCTCAATAGTTACCCTGAATGTTAATGGGCTAAATGCCCCAATCAAAAGACACAGGGTATCAGAATGGATAAAAAAACAAAACCCATCTATATGTTGCCTATAAGAAACGCATTTTAAACCCGAAGACACCTTGAGATTTAAAGTGAGGGGGTGGAAAAGAATTTACCATGCTAATGGACATCAGAAGAAAGCAGGAGTGGCAATCCTTATATCAGATCAATTAGATTTTAAGCCAAAGACTATAATAAGAGATGAGGAAGGACACTATATCATACTCAAAGGATCTGTCCAACAAGAAGATCTAACAATTTTAAATATCTATGCCCCTAACGTGGGAGCAGCCAACTATATAAACCAGTTAATAACAAAATCAAAGAAACACATCAACAATAATACAATAATCGTAGGGGACTTTAACACTCCCCTCACCGAAATGGACAGATCATCCAAGCAAAAGATCAACAAGGAAATCAAGGCCTTAAATGACACACTGGACCAGATGGACATCACAGATATATTCAGAACATTTCATCCCAAAGCAACAGAATACACATTCTTCTCTAGTGCACAT